TAATTTGACTCAACGGCTAGATATGGAATTCGAGGAGAATACGACTGTTGAAGTTAACGGTCAGATCTGTGAAGACTATGACGCGGGAGAGGAAAGTTATACACGTGGCGTAATCCTAGTGGTTTTTGTATTCTCTCTAACTAACGAATGGTAGAGGTTGACCGTATGCTCGGTGGACCACGCCACACAAAAACATCAAACCTTTTTTTTTTTCTTCAATTTTATTTTGTTAAATATTGTCCCACTAGATGCCGTTATTAGCTGGCATTTCCTCTAACGTGCACATGGTGCCTCTCTGTTTTGTAAATTACCAATTATAGTGAAACACGTCAGCTTTTAGGAAAGGATTTGACCAATGAGGATGCTTAGTCACACGCTTGAGATGTGTTTGGGGGATGGGGCTTCTTTTTTAACCAACGCTGCGCCACATGTGCAGACTTGTCTTGGACGGCGTGAACAACGTCGTGAATCGCGCGTTAAAATTAACGGAGTTTTTTTTTACTTGTAACGGCTAGTTAAAAGATAAATCTTTTGCACTTCTATCTTTTTCCGAAAAAGAGTAACACCCAAGAAGAAGTAAAGGACCTTGATTTAATGTTGTAAAATATAAATAAATGAATTGCTTTATTTTTTTATTTATACTCTGTTTATTAAGTGTTGTGGAAATGATTTTTTGGATTTAAAAAAATAATTTTATTTCTATTTCTCTCCTGTTTTTTTCGTTTTGTAGAAAATACTGATTATTAGAAAATATAAGCATTCTAATTTTAGTTCATGTGGATGTTGTATTCGACACATTGAATTTGTACGTGAATTCGGAGAAGAAACTTTGGTTCTAAGAAAGATCTTTAAATCTGATATACTAATGAGACGAGTTTCGACGAATTGGATTTATATTGACAAGAATTGAATATACAAAGAACATCTCGAGTGAGATATGTTTACAATGTAGCTCGTAGAGCCAAGTATTCTAGTGTGTAAGCTGGTGAAAAACCTCTTCTCTGCCGCTTGATGATTCCTCCGATTTATAGACTTGTCAGCTCGTTAGTTAGCTCCACATATCTTGGAGCGGTTCCACGTATTCAGGGGAGGTTCCTATTATCTCGGGGGAGCTCCTAATATCTCGGGCGGAGCTGGATTCAGCTCCGCGTAGTTTTGGTTCACCTTCGCGTAACTTTCGCTCAGCTCCGCGTATTTCGGGGGAGCTCCAGGAATCTCGGACACGTTCGTAAGTGGATTCCTAAAACTCTGGCGGAGCTGACTTAGTCAAAGATCTTCTTTGACTCATTCTCGCAGAACTTACTTAGTCAAAGATCTTCTTTGACTTAACACTTGCTAATAAATGTTTTTGGATCTTGCTTAGGCCCAAAAGGCTTGTAATCTCTTAGAACATAAGTTTATTAATTTTTGGACTTTTATGGTGTGGCGATTGAATTTCACAATCACGATCTAAGTAACTCTTCAAGCTTTGTAAAGTTTTGCGGGAAGCCGTCAAACGCAAAGATCTCAAGAGAAGTTTTTATTAAGCTGTTAGAAAGCTGTTTCTGAATACAAGAGTTTGTCTAATGAATTTTAGATCTCCTTTTTCGTAAGTACAATGAGCTTTATAGAGGATTTCTAGGTAAAATAGACCAGCTAATAAAATGGGCTTGACCCATTAAACCATATATCTAATTTAGGCCAATTATTTCATTAAGCTCATTTTGCTTATGGGTTTAATGTCATTTTGGGCCTAGATTCAGACTGGGCCTTCGTAGACTTGCTTTGATTTCGTCGAACGTTGCGGATTGATCTCGTTGCCATATCGATCTCATAGGGGGTGAAATCTGACCCCTACAGTTAGTCCTCCAGCTTGGCAGTTTCGAATTACGATGATGCCGAGGTAAAAGTTTTTGTAGCCCAACAGTTGGACTGCGAAATTGCCAGGCTAGGACGTCTTGTCATCGAACTCGGGAAGTTTATGTTATTCCGCGTTGAGTCGATATCTGCGTATTTTCCTGGACTTGTTTTCTTTTTCTTTGTCTTAGAAGACTGAGGATGTTGATGATCTTTTGTGTTAGTAGGCCTTGAGGCCTGCTGGAAAATTTCTGGAATTTTTCCAAAACCAAGTGATTTTAGAAAACCTCCATGTATAAATAATTCTGCTGCTTTGGCGTGATTTTTAACCAATTCACTTTTTTCCTAAGAAAAGGTAAAATATCTTCTCCCATTTCTGCCTCCTTCTTATTTTTTTTTATTTTTATCATAAGGTTTTTTTGTTTTGTTATCTCGGGCCGCCTCCTTTCGTCGTCACCTTCATCTTCTCTTGGCCGGCCAACGACGGAGAGCGATGACTGCCGAGGTGACGTCAAAGGCCGAGACGGAGAAGGAAAATGGCGCCAAGCTCCGGTGAGTCTCTGTTGCGAGGTGAGAGAGATCGGGCGAGCTTCCCGTCGTCTACGAAGCGACTGCGACGTCGTCGGTGGTTCGAGGTGAGATCGCGTGGGGCCTAATCTGCGTTATCAGCGACAAGTTTGACTTTGCTGATGACGACGAGGTCGACCAGAATCATTCGGCGGCAAGATGGAGCGTCAGACTTTGGATTCGGATCGAGACAACGGAGCAGT